CAGTTTAATTAACTAATTTGCTGTGTGTTTAAGCTTTGATATCCAAGCATCAAACGGGGCTGGTTGCTATTTGCTTACTGGCCCCCCCTCTCACATAGGATCAGCAGGAGCCTACGCGTGAAGGGCCACCCTGTTCTTCCCTAATATAGTTGCTGTCCTTTGACATCCTGGCTTTACCCGGAAGAACATCTGCTTCCTGGCCAGTTTTTCATCTCTAACTACTTCACCTCCCACTTCTCAGCTGTGTGTACTTTCCCAGCAACCTGTGCCAGGGGCTTTATCTTTCTCAGCCACTATTTCTAGCTCTCCTTGAGCCACTCAGCTATCTAAAAGGAAACAAAGAAAACATTATAATTGTGGTGAAAGTGGCCCATTTGGTGCTTTTTCTCTCTCTCCTGTTGGATAATTCTCTTAACTTGTTAGATTTCTTTTCTATCTGAAAATTTATGGAGAGCAACCAATGTATGAAATTATTGTAGTACAGTGTCTTTACAGAGTACCCAGTTCATGCCAAACTTGATAGTCTGTATTTACTGGTGAAAATTAACACTGTTCTGTAAGTTCTAACTACTCTACTATGGTAGAGATTATTTTGCTTCTGTATAAAGAAAGGAGTTCACCTGTTAAATATCCCTGCTATTTGCCTGGTGGTTTCTTCTGTATGTGTGGGTGGAGGGAGCAGCAGAGTAGGTTTGGAAATTGTGGATTATACCTTTTTAAGCTATAAGGATGAGTGCTTTAAAGAAGACTTGAGGATAATTAAAAGGCACATCCTAACATTTCTTTTCCTTCAAAATGTGTTAGAATTCTTAGGGATGTTACAGATAGGGAAAAGACAACTGCTTCAGCCAAAAGACTGGGCAGAGCACTATTCTTTTAGCCTGTTCAAGCACTAAGAAGAAAAGGAGACAATAGAATTAATGTCAGGTCTTCATTTTTTGATTGTCTTAATAATATGTTTTAGCTCACACATGGTTAATTTTTTTTTTTTTTTTTAGAAAAGTCTTTAGACTTGTATTATAAGAATACGGCAGCAAGTATAGTTTTGGGGTAGGAATGGTAGTGATAGAGGGAAATGGATGTATTGTGTGTGTAGCTGCTGTTTGCCAGTTGACTATGCTGTCTTTTAGTGTAGGAGGTGAGTATGACTTCCTGGTGGGATAGTGGCATCAAAACTGTCTTCAAGGCAAGTCCTCCCTGAGTGCTGTTCAAACAGGAAGTCCTCCCCCACCAGTGCTATTCACACAGGAAGTCCCCCCCCAGTGCTGTTCACACAGGAAGGCCTCCCCCAGCAGCATTCACACAGGAAGTCCCCCCCCCCAGTGCTGTTCACACAGGAAGTCCTCCCTGAATGCTGTCCACACAGGAAGTTCTTCTTAGTGCTGACAAGCACCGTCCAAGCTGGGGCCTACAGGCATTGCAAACAGGGTCTGCTAGCATAACCATCAACTTTGTTTTTCTCTCCATTTTTGCATACAAATTAAGCCCACATAAATATTATTGTAAAAACTGAATTAGCTTGCTTTCCTGCTCTTGGATAGACAGTTTGATGGGTTGCTTGTTTGCTTGCCCTGAAGCAGTAAAGCAGGCCAGCGAAGACTGAGATAGACTTCTAGGCTTCTGTCCGATGGGTCAACACTTAGCTGTTGTCTTCCTACCACCCAGTTCCTTTAATTAGGCTAATGCCTGTGAATTAGCTAAAGCTTCATTCAGAGAGTTCTGAGGTTTCTTTTCAAATTCTAGGGCAGATTAGGTGCTTCAAGCAACAAAATGTTTAAAGGACAACCAGTGATTAAGTAGTTTCATAAAATATATTCCTCCCTCCTCCCCCTTTTCTTTATAAAGTTTACCATCTTGCAGCTGAGACACATAATTAGCTACAAAGTGTATTTTTTTAAAATTGTCTAGAGTTCTCAGTTTGTAGTTAAAGACTTGTCATTGTTTGCATTTTAGTCTGGAAGTGCGGGTTCAGTTCTTCACTGGTTAAGTTAAACTCAGTAGTAATATACTATAACTTTCAAAAACTGCAGAATGTTTTTACGTCAGTGAAAGATGTATAAAGTATAAATGAAAAAAACCCAACCTTTTATAAAACTTACTTTGTTAAATAAAAAGTAAAACACATGCTGGCAGTGTACTCATTAAATTAACATAAAGACACCATTGAAATTTCTTTCTTTAATAAAAGCATCAGCCATATTAATCACATTTCAGAGAAACTTCAGTTTAGTAATTAGCTTGCAGATAATCACAAGAGAATGAATGAGTGCAAAAAGTAAATTTGGGATTGGACAGTATTTTGAGGTGGCCTTTGAGTCCTTTTTGAGGACTGTGGTTTTGTTGGCCAGCAAATCTGGTTTCAGATTCTACCCCTGGCGCCTATAAAAGTGGGACTTTGGCATATTGTTAATCTCTCTTGAGTTTTTGTTTCCTATTCTGCAAAGTGAGAGAACAATAATGTTCCTGCCTTAATGGATTAAGTAAAAAACTGCATATAAAGTGTACCACACAGTATCTGGCACATATTAAATGTGCAGTGTATGATGGTGTTTCTGCCCATGTTATTACAGTTATCATTAGCCTATTCTGGATATTTAGTAAGAGTAAACAGCTCTATTATTTGGATTTTCTTCTTTAATAGGTGTCCATTATTTAGATTTTAAATTTCAACACCATCTAAAGCTTAATCTTGGATGCAAAATTTTCTGCACCAAAAAATAAAAAGCTCACAACCTCAAATAGCCAGTGCATCTTTCAGGTATATTTCTTTTCAGCTAGTTCTGAGAAATAATTGTTACTAGGATAATGTTTCATCCTTGGGGTGAACCACGGTCTAGATTTCCTTCCCCCATAGGGCAAAAACAGGGGAAGCAGGCTGTCCATGCTCGTCACCTACTTCCCAAAGTGGGAAAATAGTACTATCATAAATATGGAGACCTGTCAAAGATATATCAAATCAACTATGTAAATAATGAAATGTAAATCATAGTTATATTTCTGCCAGAAATAAATACATAAATAAAAATCTACCACTTCCATATCCAAATAATCACCAAGTAAATCACGCCCATAAGTGTTTCTTCTAATGGTACAAGCCCATACACGGTCCTCTATTTTCTACCCCAGGGAAAAACACAGAGAACTAATGCTGACCTGGAGCACCATCTTTAAAATGTCCTCTGGTTCACCTGCTTGATGTTGGTATAATCCCACTGAGATGCAGGGCTGGAGTTCATCCTCAGTTTCTTCCAGATGAGTCCAAGTCTTATCTCAGGTGACCACATTTCGCACCCCCTTCTCCCCAGCAGCTGCGCTGCACAGATTGGACTTTGGGGTCTATTGTGAATAGCAGTGTGATTTGTGGCAAGGACAGGCTCTCAGACATTAATTAGAGGTGGCTTGGAGAAAAAAAAATAGTCTTGTCTAGCTTTGTCTACAGAAAAAAGTTCTATGTGTTAATCAAAGACTTAGGGCAGGGAGGCAGATGTGTATGTTGCTTCTCAGTTCCTCTGTTCTAAACTGATGTGAGAATTGCTGCAGGTAGCAACTCGCAGTTGTGCTGAGTAACTTTGGAGAAGGAACACAGACCTTTGTGTGTCCTGACTGGGCCTGGGAGATGGACCCTCTGCGGCAGAGCCAGAGCCAGGGCTTATTCTTAAATTGACATCTAGAAAGTTTTTAACCCCTGGAGAAAGAACACAGGGACGAGAGGGAAGATCTGCATGTAACTGCTTATTAAGGGCATAAATCTAATAGATTTGATAGGATATATGCTTAAGAATGCTTATTTTGGATTAGGCAGTAATGATGCTCTCAGTTCAACTTTCATTAATACATTCACTATTTTTAACCTTGTTGCTCTTCTAAAAGAACATCTCTTGAGGTAAAAGTGGTATTTGGATTCAGATGATCATAGGAAGGACCTTGAGAAGAATCTGCAGAGCACAGGACTCTTATCTAGAGTTACAGACTTGCATTGGTGAGGACCCTAAAGTATTGGGGTTGTGGACTGAGCTGGCCATACAGAAACCTCGTGCAGAGCCAGATAGCCATAATAGATAGTTGAGATTGTTGACAAGGTTCGCGAGGTTACGTTTGTTAGAAGGGGACCCTTTCTGAACTTTGAAAGTGGAAGGTAATTTGCGTTTCAGGTGTGCCTGATTTTCTTTTCTTTATGGTAGTAAATCAGGCTCTAAGATGTGAATTGTTTTGCTGAATGTCTAAGTAACATTTTCACATTATATTTTTCAGTTACTCAGTGATGTCCTTGAATTAGTACATTTATTACTTAAAAATGAAAAAAATCCCTGCATAGTGTGAAACTGCTGAGTATTTGCTGTGAGGACACTTTGGTTGTGCTCTCACGTCCATCACAAATTGAACCATTTTGCTTCCTCAAAGTGATGTGTATGGCATAGGGATAGAGAACTGTGGTTTCTTCTGATTGGTTAATAGGGAATTATCTGGTGTGAGTATAATTTCAGACATCCTTGCTTGGTGGCTACTAACTGGGAAACCACACTGAGTCTCAGTTGTAGGATTTACAAAAGTTACGTGGTTGCTGCGAGGTCTGGGAAGGATTCCAACTACTGCCCCATTTTCACAGGGGTTAAATTTCACAGAGTTAGCCAGAGCACAAGGCAGCATGCCTGTGAATCTTATCCAGATGTCCCTGGGAAGTCAAGTGCCTGTCCTAGATCTGGGTGAATTCTTCCTTATTTGAGCATCTTGATGCATCTCTAACTTTCTTACATGTAAAAAGTAATCTAGTAATTTTTTAAATTGTCTTAATAAAATTATAAGCAACTTTCATATGTTCTCTAGATTTTGAAAACCTTTTCATAATCTAGATATATTAAAATACCATGTAAATTAAAATGTACATATTAAAGTAGCTTAAGATACTCTGTATATTTTCGTAACTTCATTTTATTTTGGAAGTCATACAGTCTCTGAATGGTGTTTGATACCTATTCACACTCTCAATCTTTGTTTTTCAGCAGTCTCTGGTCCCAGCCCACCCCATGGCCCCTCCCAGCCCCAGCACCACCAGCAGTAATAACAACAGCAGCAGCAGCAGCAACTCAGGATGGGATCAGCTAAGCAAAACCAACCTCTATATTCGAGGTCTGCCTCCCAACACCACAGACCAGGACCTGGTGAAGCTGTGTCAACCGTAAGTTGCAAGTATTCTTGTTTCTAGCTGTGAAGTATTTCCTTGATCATAGTATACAGTGATGTAAGTTGTGTTATAAGAATAGAGCCCTTACTATCAATACAGTAACAGGGTTTGCAAGTTCTCTATTCTTGGACACTTAGGTTAGCTTTCATATCAGCAAAATGTGCCTAGATAGCAAACGAAACTGGAGTATTTGCTCAGTAGAATTTGACTTTATTGGCATATGAGAGTTGAAATAGGAAGTTTTTTGGAAAAACTTAGGGCTCAGTCCTGCTGAGGAGGCCTCATTTTTTATAGAAGCAACCTCTGAGGGCTGATCTGTCCCGTAATAAGAGAAACTTTAATCGTTAATGATTATCAGAAAGGTAGTCACTCTCAAACCTTGTCCTCAATGGTGTAAAACTCTTAATAGTGGTTTTTCGTCCCTAGAACTTGTAGTTTTGTGGTCCGGCTGTTCCTCATCTCCTAGGTTAGGTACTCAGCCACCACCCTTTTTCAGCCATGTGAAACAGGTACACATATGCATAAAATTCCAAAGTAAATTTGCATTATATGTTAATGTTGTTGATGAGTTGGATATAAATAAGCTACCTTACTGCAGTGACATAAACCACCAAGAAGGAACTAATTCAAACTAAGGAGCCAAATGACTGTTCAGTGAAGGATCATTGTGTAAACACTAAAAGCCTCTAATCACCAAGCTATAAAACCTACATGCATAACAACCTTTTTTATTTATCCAAAGACAATAATGATTCCTTATAAAAGGAATTTTCAGAACTGTGGAATAATGAGGATGTTTCCTATCCACCACCCCCCCAAATTCCCACTATAAACATCTCATTAATAAGTAGCATCCCATTTGTTTTCCCAGGTAATATATAGACTCCCTGATTCTTACTTCAAGAATATATATATATATATATATATGTTTAGATTTTAGAGAGATGAGACAGGAGGATGTGGTTCCATAGGATCTGGAGTGCCTTTTCCAAACCCGGGCCCTGCCCTCTTCTGTGGCAATACCCTCACTTTGCGTCCCATAAATCTTTTGGACCAGTGGTCTAGGACTGCAGCCCTTTGCTCTGGGCAGTGAAATAACGTTCTGTGCTGGGCACTGCTCTGAAAGCAAATTTGGCTCCTTGGGGTTTGTCATGACTAGTCAGAGTCAGAGGGAACTTTGCCAAGATGCCCTGCCCAATTGCAGCTGCTGAAGACCGCAAATAGGCCTTTGCTATCTTGTCTGCTGCTAACCTTTTACTGGCGTCTTCTTACTGTCTTGCAGCATAATTACAGGTACATTGAGCACCATAAAGTCTAAGGAGCTAAGTATATGACTTAGTAGGAAACAAAAGAATGAAGCTAACTCTCCAGTTTTTGAGGTGTAAGAGACAGAAGAGATTTCAAAATGATAAATTATTCTCCTCTGCTAGTTTTGAATCACATGAGATGAGTTTTAATGTTTGAGAGATAAAATGAACAAAATAATCATGGATGCAGTGTTTTATATACAGTACATATGTACTTGAGAAATTATCAACTAGTAAGTATTTTTAATGGAGTCAAATAATACTCCAGATGCAGGAGAAATAACATTTTGTCATTTTCTAGAAAATTGATTCATTTTTTTTGTCATTGGCCTTTGATCTATGTGGCTCCCCCCCCCCCTTTTTGGTAAGATGGAAAAGCCAAAAGATATTTAATAATAACGTGGCCATCTTTTCAACTCATGGGAGAGACCCATCATGACTGAGAAACTAGCCAACATAGCTTCAGATGCCATTTTTAAAAAAATTAATTTTATTGAGGTACTGTTAGTTTGCAACATTGTTTGTGTTTTAGAATGATAAGGTCTGTCTTTTCAGGTGTTGTCACCTTACCACCTCCACCTAAACACCCAGCAGCCACATCCATCCAGTGTGCCCCTCCCCACTTTATCTCCTCCCTCTTCCACTCCCCACTCTGGCAGCCTCAGTGCTATCGTCAGATTTCTACAGTTTCTTATTGGTTTGGATTTATCTGATCTTTGTTTTGCCTCTCTGTATTCCACATATAAATGACACTATCCTGTATTTGTACTCTTTCCTTTTATCAGTAGCAGTAATAACCATTTGCCACTCTCATTCTCTCTGATGATTTGCAAGAGCCTGGGTTTTGATATTTAACTTTGATGATGGTTTTCTTTATAGTTCTTATACAGTGGCAAGACATACAGTGATAGAGGACTTTGTCAATATCTGCTGAAAGCCTGTCCCATTATAACACAGAACACCTAATAAGTACCAGATTTCACTTGCTGATAATTTTGTCTTTGGAAACAGAGAGCTCAAAAAAAGAGAATTCTTGTTCTGGGCTTGTTTCCTATAAAGAATAGTTAGTTGGTGACATGGATGTCACAAAAACTTTATAGGAAAGTGACTCATCCTAGTGTTTAGAAAATCCAATAGACATAAGAAGAGATTTTTTTAAAAGTGAATATCAGGGGCCCTCCCTGGTGGCACAGCGGGTTAAAGCACAGCACTAAGAAGATAAAAAGCCACTTCAGCATGAGTTCGATCCCCACCCCAAAGGTGACCACATGGTGCGGCAGACCTCTCCTGACCTGCCCACTACTCCCCTCAGCAGTGTACTTCATCAGTCGGCCAGTTCTGCTCCTCACTCTGTCTCTGGTGAAGCCTCTCACTGCCCCTGTACCTCTGGCCTGTACCCCAAAGTTCTGTATGCATAAATAAATCTTAAAAAAATAAAGTATCAGGAAACATCGGTATAAATTCATATCTCGAAGAGAGAAAAATGATTTTGGATATAAAATTGAGTAAATAACAAATTGACCTGATTAGGATGAATGTAAGAGGGACAATCACAGCATGCATTTTGTTTCTCTAAAGGGTGGGTATTTTAGGGGGTTATCTGAAAGAAAGATGGAAAAAAAATCATCAGAAGGTATGTAAGAATGACCTAACTTCACATAAATAGTGCATAAAATCTGAAAGCAAGAATGGCATGAAGCTTGTGAATACAGAAGATGAAAGCAAAATATTTATAAAAACTTATGTTAGGAGTAGAATATACATGTGTTGTAAAGTTAGAAGGAATGACTGAAAACACATGTGTTGTGATGATAACACCAGAGATGGTAGTTAAAGGTATGTGGTAGTGAAAAAATAGTGGCACTCCAAGACAGAGTCATGATTCTGGAAAGTATAGCTCAATGTGATTAAGAGTTAGGGGCTAAGACTGGAGGGCAACCAGCTTAAGTTACTAAGATGATTGGCAACAAGGACCAAGACAGAGATAGGATAGTGGTAATGGCAGTGGTAAGTTGCTATGGGTTGAAAGTAGATACATTTTCTAGAAACATTAGTGAAAGCAATGGACTGTCTCCTTTACTTCTGAGTTGAAATATGTATATAGAGAATTAAGCTGCCAACACATGATTATTTCAGACTGCCACAACTTGCTTTTCTAAAAAGTTATCTACTGGGGTCTCCTTGTTGGTGCAGAGAATTAAGTCACAGCACTATGAAGCTATCTACAGCCACTGCAGCACGAGTTCAATCCCCAGCCAGGGAGCTGACTCACATGGGATAGCAGACCTCTTCTGTCTCACCTGTTGCTCCCCTCAGCAGTGTATTTCAGTAGATCTGCCTGTTCTGCTCCCCACTCTATCTCTGTCACCCATGCCTTTGGCCTATACCCCACCTATTATAAATAACTAAATTGTTGGGGGAAAAAAAAAGTTATCTACATAAAAGAACACATCCCTTATGGTTAACCAACAAGTTAAGGAAATGGAATGAACTGGGTTCATAGAAAATCTTTCTCTCTTACTCCTTGACTTTTGGACATTTCTCCCCCTTCTCTAAAATAAAGTCAAACGAATATTTCCTGAGCTATCATTTGATTCCTTTTACTCAAACTTCTGAGGCAATTTTCTAGACAAATTAGTGGAGGACTGTTGTTGCTTCCATTTTCTTGCCACCCTACCCCTTTGGATTTTGCCTTCAAGTTTTCACCTGCCTCTCCTCAACTCTTGTCTTTTGATTTCCAGTTTTTGTACTTTATTCCTCTGTAACCCCATTTTCTCATTGGGTTATTCTCCGTCATTAGAATTTTCAATAAATTTTTGAGTATTATTGTCATGAATTTAACATACCTCCTTACTCTCCAAACTGTCACTTCCCAATTACTCTGCTTGACTTGAAGCTTTGGAGGCATCATTGACAATTTCCAATTCTCCTCTTGGTTACTGAATTCTGTATTGTCTTCCTTTTTACTGCCAGAGAATTGGGTGGTTACTGTCTCCTCCCTTCACTGAACAGATGAGAATCATTGCTCATGCTGCTGCCTCTCCTCGGGTGCTTCCCTTTTCCCTCTTGATTTTTCAAGGCCAGGTCTGAGCCCAACCTGCTTCCTTTCTATGAAGGTCACATGAACTCTTTCCATTTCTTTTTATATATCACCACTTTACGATTAGCTCTTCATTTCCACTGTTCTCCAAGGCCTTGTCACAGTCCATGGCAGCATGTCTATGATAGTTTGTAATGTTGACAGATCTCTTACCTGTGTCATAAAATCATGGTGATTGGCATGACAAATTTTTGGTAGTCCAGTGTTACCTAATACAGAGTTACGTGTACACACACAAACACACACACACACACACACACACACACACCCTATTTTCAATCAGTAACCTATAAAATGGACCTAAAAATGCTTCCATGATGAGTTTGTGATTAGGATTAAATCAAGAAAAGAAGCTGGTCTACTACCTAGAACTCAGTTGGCATTAAGCACATGTTACTCACTCCCTCCTAAGAGGCCAGAGGTGCAGAGAGGATTCACCAGAGTTAGAGTAGAGAGCAGAACAGGCAGATTTACTGAAATACACTGCTGAGGGGAGACAGTCTGCTGTGCCATGTGAGTTAGCTCCCTGGCCAGCTAGGAATTGAACTTTTGCCACAGTAGCTGGCCACAGTTTAATATCACTGTCT